GGGCGGCACTTTGTTTCAGCTGATTGTGAGCTGCACGGCGGGTGGGTCGGAGATTGCATTTCACTGCGCGCGGTTCATTGCACTTCTTGTCGCAAGTGGCAAATGTCGAGTGGGGCGTGGACTGGCGGGGCGGGGCACAGATAAGGGCCCGGCCGCCCTAGACCGCCCCAGACCGCCCTCCTCGGCGCCGTCCTGGCGGGCCCCGGTCTGGCCCCCGTGGACGCCGTCTACCTCCACGATGAGCCGCGGCCTCTCGCTCCAACGGCTGTCCACCTCAGAATTCTTCGACGGTGCATTTAGACAGTGCCGTCGTCGTGATCCTGCTGCTGGTCGAGACGACGGACCGGCGTGTGTGCCCCACCGACCCTGTTCCCCGGGGAACGCAAACAAATCCTTTTGGGCCTTCGTCAGGATACTGAACCGCGTGTCACGGATAAGACTCAACAGCATGTGGCGCTACACACATAAGGCGCCATGGCCCCGACCCCTAGGGTATGGTATGGTGCATGGTGCATATGCGGGTGGGAGTGAGCGGGGTGAGGTTTCAAAACCCTTCAAAACTATAAATTTCAGTCGTTTCCAAGCTGTAGAGAAGAGAGTCCCATATGGCCCTGTCATTCAACGATAAATAGAGAGAACGGCCCTCGGCGTAAAGTTCGACTCTTTCAGCGTCAATGTGAGTTGGGGAACCGTTGAAATGTCCCTGGAGAGACGCATCATGATATACATAATTGGAGAAACACATACGTGCCAAATATACTAACAACCACAAAACTACAAACTTTTAACTGTGAGGTGAGCTTTTGCCGCGCCAAGACGAGTGCTCGCTCGGACTTGGCGAACGCGCATCCAATCCTAATTCTCTGATCCTTTAAGAGTTATTCCCGACATCCGACATACGACTATCTAAATAATTTGTATTAGGCTGCAACAGTAGGGCTTGCTTCCCCTCCCACTGCTGCTGAGTTGCGCCACACTGTTCACAAGGCGTTTCATTATCTCTGTCTGAGTCCGTGCATGAGGCAGAGGAGGAACTTCTGCCGCAAATGCCACTGATAAACTAAGTATTCAACTGCTCAACACTTGTAAGTGTGCAGCTGCTAGTTGGATACTTGCAAGTGTTCAAATCGGTAGGAGTGCACTTGTAAGTGTGCAACTCATCGGTTTAGCACTTCCTACACAGTGACCGTTAAATCTAAGGAAGTGTTCAACCAAGGAGTTGTACACTTGCAAGTGCACACCTACAGAGCTGAACACATGCAAGTTTACGACTGCGGAGTTGAACACTTGCAAGTATTTCACTTGCAGTTGCACACATACAAGTGTTGAGCAGTTGTACACTTAGTTTATCAGTGTGTTCATGCAGCTCTCGTCCCCCCCCCCTCCCCCGTCAGCACGCTGGTCCATCTGCCCCCCCCCCCTCCAAATGAAGAGACATGTCTTTCAATTAGGAGGCACCCCGCCTGGCGCTCCTCGCCAGCCGCGCACTCCGATGATGACCGCTCCTCCCCCCCCTCCCTTTTCATTTCTTTTCGTTCTAGAGAAGCTGGCGGAGTTGTGACTTCCAGCCTCCGAACAACGCGATTGTCTCCCGTCATCACATCGCACTCAAAAAAAAAGCAGGTCTTAGGTGCTCGAGATAGGTGCTCGAGATAAGTGCTCAAATGAGTCGAGAACACGTGGACAATATTTTGCCGGAGTGTAATCGAAATTGGATCGTATTGAGCCCATGTTCTTCGATTAATCCGAGCGGAGCGCATTTTATGAGCCAAGATCGGGCGTCTTTGAATGCACTGAAAAGTGTGTATCGCCTAAAAAACGAAACTGTGTTTGTAATTTGAGAATAGTTCTGAATTATTTCAAGAATAAAATAAGAAATAGTGTCCTTATTAAAAATCAAAATGCCTATAGATTTCAGAGCATTTTCAAATTGAAGTAAGAACTTTACGTTGTGTATGTTTTTGTGTGTTTGTTTTAAGAGGGTAGGCGAGGTAGTGTGAAAGTCCGTGTCCGTGTCAAACACCTAATAGTTTCTTTATAGTTCATGCCTTCACTACAAGTAAAACAAAACGACGGGCACGCGACGGCGGGGCGATGATGATACGCCACACTTGTGACCCCAGGGTGGCCCTTGCCCGGTCCACTCCACACTGTAGGAATGCATTGTGTCGAGCGAGGCGTGGTGGCGCGTCGCCGGGCGCGCGGGGGGGACGGCGACGGCGGCAAGGAGCGCTATCTAACGCCAACGGGTGTCATGTTGACAGAGGCGTT